TTAACTGTATGTTTATTTCTTCGCTGCATCCATGTTGTGCGATCCAGATATGTTTCCCTTGTCAGGAGTATGCCGTTCATGCTGTTTGCCCTGTCGTGTAGCCATAAGTTCTAGTGCTGAATTTAGTTTTGTTTCGTGTAACAGAAGTATGGTATTGATGCCAAAAGCGATGTTACGGTTCCACAAGGAATACTTTGTTGTCTCGCGAGCGTTCCTACTATTAATTATATGCTATTCTGCTAATGGTAGTTTTTTGTGGTGTGTCCATGTCTCTATTCAGACATGCCGTGTCGTTTGCGGTTGTCGTATGCACATAAAGTAGAAGAAGAGCTGAGCCTAGTTGTGTTTCCAGTAACAAAATTGTCCGTTTTCCTACCAACGCGATGCCCTTGGTTGTCAAGGACAAGCATTTCTTATAATAATTATATGCGCCAGTGTCCTTTTCGGGGTTCTCCACAGCATCAATGTTTTTCTATATATTTCGATAGGTTGGCGCAGGGGTGTGTACGTCACGACCATGTGGCTCATGTCTAGAATAGCTGAATTTACTTGTGTTTCGGGTAATGGAGCCATCGACAATCCTGCAAATTCAGCTATTCTAGTGGAGAACCCCGATAGGTTGGCGCAGGATTGTATGGCCATAACTAGAATAGCTGTACTTACTTGTGTTTCGGGTAATGGAGCCATCGACAATCCTGCAAATGTTATGTCTTAGCAAGTGAAACTTTGTCGTTCTGTACATATCTCTAGTACTCAGTACTACATATGCTCTATCGCGTGTAAAACCTTATTTTTCTGGTTTATCAAACCATTTATTGTGTTGACAACCATGATAGGAAACGACTTCTTGAGAATATTTTTATGGCATCGCAAGTATGCTTATGTGTAAAAGAAAAAAAGTATACTTATGTGTATCAACATGCGGCAGTGGCGTTTAATAAGTATGATAAATTTCTCATTTCCTGATCTTGCTCTTTTTGACATATATCAGTGTTGGTGCTAAGAGATTGAACCTCTGCTGCGTGCAACACTTCAGTCCTGAGGCAAAAAACAAAGAAGGGTCAGTACTCAGTACCTTATTATATGCGTTGCAAAAAATATATTCTTCACACTCTTTATTGTTCACATTATTTGATATGTAAACCTGCTGGTTGATATTCTCTATTATGGCACTATATTTAGCACCTACAATCAGATATCATGAAGAACTAACATGCTTGTTCATTTCATCTACAACCACTTGATGGTTAGAACTTGGTTCATTACATGAATATGCCTCTTTGATAATTCCGTTGTAACTTGTGAGCTCTAGACTTAAGTTTACAGCATGACTTAAGTCTGAGATGGCTAGAGTTTGTTTTTTCAAACAGAGGTTTACAATTTCTTAACCATTTCAGCTCAGTTCACTTAATCTCTCCAGATTTTGACAGAGGTATATTTGCATTATTCCAGGTACCTCGAGGCACTGGGTCGTGTCAGGTTTCAGTTCTACGATTTACGCAGCATGTTCAAGATCATAATGGAGGTAGTCCCTTATGTCCCTATGCTGTATTTTTACTACCAACTTCTCACTAGTATCATAATACATTGATTGCTTGAGGATAAATTATTTTACGTTAATTGTATTCTTTGTTGCCGTTGAAATTTATATAGAGAGGTCCTGTTTTGTTTCTCGAGCACTTTAGTTCCAGGTCTCCGCAAGTCCAATTGGGCCGTTGAATTTTATTGTTCTTAATTTCGTCATCACATGTCGGTAGATGCATGTACGGGATAGCTCTAAGCAGTGGAGTTTCTTTGTTTCCCACCATAAGTTAAGCATCGCCAAGTACCAGAATATGATACCCACCACCTTGCAGCATGACTAATTTGTGAAACCATGTGAATTGAGCATCATTGTGCGTCACAAACATGTCTTAATCATTGACGTGTTCTTCTTCTTTTGTTGCAGCTGGAGCAGCATCTTGCGGCATGTCGTCCTAAGTAGGAGTAAGTGAGGGGAAAATGGCATAGCCCCAATCGATCTCTCGCATGATGGGGTGTATGTATCACCGAAGATGTGGGCAGTTTTCATTGGGTGTTTGGCTTTCGAGGGTGTGTTATGATATTAGCAGATTCTAGTGTTGGGAGTCCAGTCTCGCAACCCTATGAAATAAACTTGTTATCATGTGTGTCGATGTGTCAACTCTATACATGTTTCTATTTGGATGTTGGTTGGTTGTTGGTGACTTTTGTTCTAAGTTATTCTCTCTCTCTCTCTCTCCCCCATCTTGAGAGATGTTGGTGCCTCCCTTTTGAGCAAGGGTAAATAAGTGCTCAGAAATCCCGCTACTAGCTGATATAGCTAGAAGAGCGACTCACAATATTTGGACGTACTAAACATTCCTTTGCAGTCTGAAATCTTCAATGTGGCTTGGTATAAGTGTGGAGGCGGAGGCAATAGCAGGAGAAAGAAGTAGAGGAGGGGTGAAACAGAGAAGAAGTCATGGGACAATATCCAGGAGATTACCAAATTGGAGATCAGTGTGGCAGCGTGAATCACGTTTCTGGGCTTTAGTATGAAACAGTTGGTGTCATCACCAATTATATCTTTAGTGATTATAGCTGGAACCTGATTCTCTAGGCCACAAAGGTATTTAAATTAGACTGGTTCACAAACTATGAAAGAAAATGCATGGCCATATGTTCGTCGCTCTTTTATAGTTGCAAACCGTGCCCTCTCCTAAATCTTCATGTATTTGATGATAGCATTCGCTCTTCTAAAGTTGTAACCCATACGGCCATGTTCGTCGTGCTTTTATCGGCCGCCAAGGTAATTAGAAGGTGGCCTCAAATTATCCTGGTCTCCTTGTTTTTCCATCATCTATGCCGCAAATTTTCAAAGAACTCAGCCACCGAGCACACAACTCGGCATGATGCACCCAGGTTGGAATTTTTCCTTCATGCACATAACCTCCATTTTATTCCTCAAGGGTTTCGTCAAGATATAATCCATCATCCATACTATCACACCCTTCCATCTGTTTTCCCACCAATGCTAAAAAAATGACGCGTGAAAGCAGTAAAATTCCAAAATTCCTATGACTAGGATGCAGAAAAAAGAGGTTAGAGAGTGCTACAAAATGGACTCATCAACTCCCCCAATCTTAGACTTTGATCACCCCCTAGCAAAGATCACGACTGAGAGAACAGGGTCACCACGTTTATGAAGCATGAATTTATTTTGATCGAATGGTTACATTGAATCAAAATGATAAATGTAAAAGATAGCGAACCAGCATGAACACTCATATATTTCTACCAACAAGATAACTAGAGAGGCTTCCACACCTTTAATTATCTATTACTTAATGGAGGAAGTACAGTCTTATGAAGTACTTTACTAGAGATACATTCTAACAAATAGTGAATCTTTCTCAAAGTACTACTTCTCTATTTTGGAGCCCTTCCCATTCCCCACACAATGTTGAACAAGCTTATTTGCCCGTGACATAGCATTTACTAGTTTTTTGTGATCATCGGGGCTAAGCATGCTTAGTGCTTGCGGGGTAGAACAATAACGATCAAGCCAAATTGCAACTCCAAATTAAATTAGGGATACCTAACTTGTAATTTTTAGAACTAATCTTTTGTCATCATGTTTGTTTCTTCAGAGTAGTTTAGCAACTAATAACCTAACCCATAAGATTGATAGCCTACACTCACTAATAGACAATAGCGGTGGTGTGGAAGACCCTATAGTCATCAGAGAGTGACAAATACATTAGCATTCATCGTAATTCATACATATGATAGATATGTCATAATGTCGCAATACCATCCTCCATCATAAAAAAATTATTCCTCTTCGGTTAGGTGAATCTTGACTTTCATCAAAGGTTATTATCCATGAAAACTAATTGAACTTGGTGAAACAAAAACATAAAAAAGAAGTAAATGATACAGGGTTTACAAATCACCTTGAGCTTAAACACTATGATGACGAGATCACATAATACCTTCAAATTATTGGTAGCAAAGGATTTCTTCTCTGAAGTATTGGGTCGCGCGGGCAAGGACATGGTGAGGCGACTCGTTGGTCTTCTCGAGATCAGTGTGTTGGCGCTTGTTTGAGCGTACGATCTCCTCCAGGTCAGCGTTGATAACGAAGCAGACATTGAGGGTGGACATGGTGTCATCCACAATTTTCTTCTCGAACCACCTAATAC